CCATTTACCATAACAGTGAGGATGGGGAGAGTTGGTGGCTGCTCGGCCAGATCTTTTACAAACGCTCCCCTTCGGTGGGAGACAGTCATACAGGAGCGAGCGTCCCTGAGAGAATCAGGTGGGTCTTCACGTCAGCAGCCAGTGTGGGCAAAAATGACATTCTCTCTGACTCCTGGTGCGACCCCGAGATGGGGTCCACCAGTAAAACAATTTAAAATCTAGCTTTTACCAATGAGAAAAAGCACTGATCAATAAAGCAATTTCAGAAGGGCCTGACCAATATATACTAGAGTGGAGGAGGCCGGGTTTAACCTGATCCCTGTGAAACAGCTTTTTGGGGAGGCACGGACCCCACCTTCGCTCAACTCAACAAGTTTTTGCCAGCCTGAGTCGAAAGATTACGAGCAGGACTTCGCCCAGAGGTCTGGCTACCTTCAACCATTACCAATAAAATGGTGTGGGACGGTTTCCACCCAGCCAATCAGGAACAGGGTCGAATTTACGACCAGCTACCCAGAAGCTGGAGGAGGTTAGAGGGTACCGAGGTCTTGGGCTTGTGGGTGGCCCCAGAAGTTGCCTCGCTCGTCCTCCAACTGCTGACTGACCTGGATGGGGGACGCCTACATAGATGGCCATGTCTTTACTTGTCAGCATATATCTGATGCTTCTAAATAAGCTCATCCCAAGTGATTGTTAAGCTGCCCTAGCTGAATGGAATAGTATCATATTTTAGCTTTCTACAGTTCTTCTTGAATATAAAAGTGTTTTTTGTATTAATTGTTCTGGTTGCTTTATGTGAACATGATAGGTAGACAACTTGTTTGTAATAATTTGTTTCTTTAATTTAATTTTGCAAAGTTACAACCTCAGAAAAACACTGTTTGTGTAAATCATTCATTTCTGTAAATCAAATAGCAGTGTGGAGTCCAATCAGTGAGGTCATTCATTATGTGAAGAAACAGGTGTCATTCATGTGGCCCTTATTTAAGGATGAAGCTAGCACATGTTGTACATGCATGTAAGTCAAAGGAGGGTGTTGAGGGTAGAAATGGGTGGTGTAATGGAACTTACGTTTGAAAAGGTGGTCAATCAGTTAAGTCATGATGAAGGGAAAAGAGTGGTTTTTCGTTTTTTGTGAAAAAATAGGGGTCTCATCAAGAGGATCTAAGGATTCGGAAGTGAAGTAAGAATAAAAGCCAGAAGATGGCAGTAGTGCAACATCTTTGGATGCAAGCTGCTGTTAAACATGAAAGAAGAAGAAGATGTTGCACATGGAATTCTCTCTGAAAACCTGACAAAGGTGGGCCATGACAGACATTGCTCAGAAGAACAGCGTGCTTTAATCAAAATGTTGATTGGAGATGGGAAAACATAAAGAAGTGCAGAAAATGACAGGCTGCTCAGCTAAAATAATCTCCAATACTTTAAAATGAAAAGCCAAACCAGAGAGACGTGCAAGAAAATGGAAGACTACCATTCGAATGGATCAAACAATAGCCAGAATGGCAAAGACTCAGCCAATGATCAGCTCCAGGGAGATGGTCTGAAGTTACCTGTGAGTACTATGACAATTAGAACAAGCTTGTCTGAGTCTATTGGCAAGAAGCCCCCAGAAAATCCCACTGTTTAAAAAGAAAAAAAAAAACGTGCTGAAGAGGATACAATTTGCCAAAGAACATATCGACTGGCCTAAAGAGAAATGGAGAAACATTTTGTGGACTGATGAAAGTAAGATTGTTCTTTTTGGGTCCAAGGGCCACAGACAGTTTGTCAGACGACTCCAAAACACTGAATTCAAGCGACAGTACACCTGAAGACCGTGAAGCATGGTGGTCCAAGCATCATGATATGGGGCAGGCCTACTTATTCCATACCAGGGATGATGGATCAATTTGCTTATAACAAAATACTTGAAGAGGTCATGCTGCCTTGTGCTGAAGAGAAAATGCCCTTTAAATGGGTGTTTCAACAAGACAATGACCCCAAACACACCAGTAAGCGAGCAGTATGTTGGTTCCAGACCAACAAAATTAAGGTTATGGAGTGGCCAGCCCAATCCCTGGACCTTAATCCAACAGAAAACTTGTGGGGTCACATCAAAAATGCTGTTTCTGAAGCAAAACCAAGAAATGCAGAGGAATTGTGGAAGGCTGTCAAATCATCCTGGGCAGGCATACCTGTTTACACATGCCAGAAGTTGGTCGACTCCGTGCAGCACAGATGTGAAGCAGTTCTCAAAAACAGTGGTTATACAACTAAATATTAGTTTAGTGATTCACAGGAATGCTAAATCTTAACTTTTTCTTTTTTTTAGTTTGAGTAAATATTTGAGTTTGTAATGGAAAAATGCAGACACTGCTATTTTTTTAATTGCCCAATATCATGTTTTCCTTCATTTTCTGTAAAGTAATTGAAATATTGATACATCAAAAGATGAAGAAAAGAGTAAAATATAATATGCAGTGTTCCCAATGAATGGACAAAAATATTATACGGATTTTGAGCTTTATTCGTGTTCAAAATAATAGCAGTGTGTTTTAAAACACAACTGTAAATAGTTTACGTTCTGATCATCCAGTCACAAAAGATGATTCCAAAAGTCATCAACTGACTCAAACTGCCCAGATTTAAACCACCTATCTGCTG